TAAACCCCACGAAAAAAATTGTTCTGAATGATAATGAAACATCACACTAATTGCTTCCTTAAAGATATCATTGATGTAAAAATCATTGAAACAAAAATTGAGTTAGTTATACGTCTTATGAAAAATACTTTTACTCATAAATTGAAAATTAATTGTTTGATTATAATTTATTCCAAATACTCCCAGTATGAAGCCATTGTTATAACTCTTATATAATTTTTTGTTAAATAAGACCTGTCATAAGATATTTCGATTTCGTCCTTTTTAGAAAAATTTTCTCATAACATGAGCTATGATTTCTGTTGGTAAGTAGTCCAGAAGCTTTATTTCTGTTCACTAAAGGTGACGCTCTTATAAATTACACAGTCATTTATACATGATATTATCGCAGCATAAGGTACCTTTGTCAGTGTAAAACTGTATTTCATTACTTAATAAAGTATGTACTTGGTGAATACATGACAGGTATTTGACGAGCATTTATCAGATGTTCAAAGAGTAATCTACGGGCATTGGGCAGGAACTTAGCAGTCATATACAGGGTGTTTAGTGGGTACTTGACCGGTACATAGTGCACCTGAAATGTAGCTGATGTATTGAGCAACTATCTTGTGCAGGAAACAAATACTTTTTGGTTTTAATTAAAAAAATTTTTTTTTTTACAAGAATAAATATAAACATTAGGAAAAAACCAAAGAAATGAGCGACAGCGCCCCCCTTATGGAGGTATAATAGCGAGCTTTTAAAACAATGCTTAAAATAATTAAACTCGAATTATAAGTTCCACCGTTGAGTCTCGCACATATCAATCGTACTATGACAGCAAATTTAGACAATAACAATAATAATAAGCCATATGGGCAATTAGGTTGTACTATACTCAGTCATTTATACATATTATAAAATAAGTATAATGTTGTCAATTTATAAAAATGACAAAACAGTCAATAAAAGTTTTGAATGATAAATTAAATTAAAAAAGAGACAGCGCTGCACGCAGTTTCAATAGAGTTTAAAAGACAAGATACAATTTATGTTCATAATGATACTGATAATTAAACTGAAGTCCTTGCGATGTCACTTAATTATATAAATTAATTAGACTCGCTAAATTTTACTTGAAAACAATTTAAATACACGTACGTGACGCAATATACGCTGGTTGATCTTGAAAATGTGAGGGTGGTAAGAAGGCGCGGAGGTAACATGGTTGATGTTATAGCCAGCACGTGGCTTTCAAAATGGCCCATGTTGTGACGACCAGCAGGTGGCTTAAAAAAAATGGCCAGCCCTTCGGCACGTAGCACGAAGCCAAGCATAAAATAAGGCTAAATGGCTGCCGAGGTGTCGACGACTCTGCCTATAATGTGCAGATGGGCGAAGACAAGAACCTCGAAGACGAGCACAGCGCAATGGCACCTGGTAAAGTCTTACCTGGGGGATGACGAAGGGGGAGTATGTGACCGATGTACAGGCTTAAAATGGGTGCACACGAGACAGCAACACACATCACATGGTCAACAATACAGATCCTGGCGGTGGAAGGAAGACAGAAACAGCACCACGAGCACGAGCACCAGTCGGATCAGGCAACGAAGCGTCGCGATAGGCGACGACGTCGTATCAAGTGCTAACATGACCCTCGTGGCAATG